TGCAGTGAGCTCTGACTGATCACGCCACTGCCCTCCAGCCTGGGGGACAGAGCGAGAGCGTGTCTCAAACAAAAAAAATCTCTCCCCATCCCTCCCTTCCCCTGCTGTCGCTATTATTATCAGCGGTGTCGTTTCGTGCACAGAGGGGCTCTTCTACCCGGACAGGCAAGACAGGGCCACGGATAATGGAAACAGGATGGGTTCCCCACCCCTGACCGAGCCCCTCCCGTGGGTCCCTCCACGAGCATCTGCCCCCTTGGCCCCCGTCACAGGCCTGGGGGTGGGGGGAGGGACAGCTGTCATCCCCATTTCACGGAGGAGGAGACTGAGGCTCAGGGAGGGGCGGCTGCCAGCCCAGCGCCCCCCAGCAGGTCCCAGGTGGGGCTGGGGCGGAAGCTCTGAGACCCCGCGGCCCAGGGCTGCGTGCATGCGGGGTGGGGGGGCCCACCTCCCCACGCGGCTTCCTGCCTGCCTCGGGGACCGCGGTGGCACTGATCGCTCTTCTCTTTGCACACAGCACCTTCCACATCCGCATCTGAAGGGGCCGCGGACGACAGGCCGGTGGAGCCACAGAAGGGGCGGGCGGACCCCTGGCCCCACCGCGGGGCCTCCACTCGGGGAATAAACGCAGTCGCTGGCTCACACCTCCTTCGGGGCTCGCATTTTCCCACTTTAAAACTGGCAGGCGGGAGGGAGGAGGCCTGGAATCTTGCATTTGCCTGCTGCTGTGTGGCGCCCGGTGTGGCCACACCCTCTCTGGGCCTCGGGGGTCTGCGTGTTTGTGCGAGGAAGAGAGCTGACTCTTAGATTTCCTTCACTGTGGGGGCTGCAAATGCCTGGTGGGGGGTCTCCGTGGCAGAGACAAGGTGGGGGGGAGATCGGGCTCGCCCGAGGACCCCCCTCGGTGAAACCTGAGGCCTGCCTGCCCAAGCGTGTCCTTTTCCCCTAATAACCCCCGAGTCCTTCAGAGGGACCGACACTTTCACTCCCTGCGGATCCCTCAGAGCTGCCGAGAGGGGGCCCCTCTGATGGAGAGCGGCCGGAGTGCCATTCGCGGAGCCGGGCGCCGCACTTTACAGTTTGGGAGACACCTGCCCCTCCGAGGAGTGACCGCACCCTTGTTTGGGGTTAGCAAGAGCGACCCGCCCAGGGCCACCCCGCAAGTCGTTTGCAGGAGGCCAACTCGCACCCAGGGCCGCCTCGTTCCAGATCCTAGCCGTCCGTCTGCATCTCGCAAATGTGGGGGGTCCCAGCCCGCTCCGCCGGAGGCTGTCCCGGGACCCCCGACCCATGCTCCGGCCGGTCCCACAAGGGGTCATCCCCGCGGCCAACGCCAGCCCTCGGGGCCCTGCCCAGACGCCCCTACTGTTCACCGTGCCATTTCTAGAGAGCTCACTCTCAGCCTAATAAATTAAGCGCCTACTGTGTGCCAGAGCCCCGGGTTTTACGTGCGTCCCGACGGTTCGTCCTGAGAAGGCGGGATTGCTCCTTTGCCCTGTCTACCAGGCGAAGAAACAGGCCCAGAGAGGTCTAGACTTGCAGAAGGTCACACAGCACTGCAGCCTGGCGTTCCCTTCCGCGCCCACCCCCACCCGCCTCCCGTTCTCAGAGCAAAAGGGCTCCTTTGCCTCCCTCAAGCCGACACCGGTGATGCCTTAGTGTCTACTGTGGGCCGAGCCCTAGACACTCCCCATCTCCTCAGGCTGCGTAAAAGCCCCAAGAGGAAGGTGCGGACAGCCCCATTTACACGCGAGAACGTGCCGGAAGGCGAGCCCGGGGGCAGCCCTGGGTTCAGACAAGAGCACCCACTATGAGGGAAAAGGGCTCGGGCTCTCCCGTCTTCAAATCCCGGTGCTCCTGTCATCCCAGCACTCTGGGAGGCCGAGGCGGGAGGACTGCTCGAGGCCAGGAGTTCGAAACGAGCCTGAGAAGAGTGAGACCCCGTCTCTACTATAAATAGAAAGAAATTCATTGGCCAACTAATATATATAGAAAAATGAGCCAGGCGTGGTGGCGCATGCCTGTAGTCCCAGCTACTCGGGAGGCTGAGGCAGGAGGATCGCTTGAGCCCAGGAGTCTGAGGTTGCTGTGAGCGAGGCTGACACCACGGCACTCACTCTAGCCTGGGCAACAAAGCGAGACCCTGTCTCAAGAAAAAACCTGGTGCTGACACTGTGGCCTCTGTCGTGCCTCTTCTCTCTGAACCTCAGTCTCTTCTTCGAAGCAGGGAGGACGACCCCATCTGATGAGCTTGCTCAGAGGCGTAAAAGAAATAGCGAACGAGGAGGGGGCACACACAGTAGGTGCTTCAAACCGTCACTGTGACTCTCATGATTATTACTGTTTTTTGTTTTTTTTTTGAGTCGCTCACAGCAACCTCCAACTCCTGGGATCAAGCGATCCTCCTGCCTCAGCCTCCCGAGTAGCTGGGACTACAGGCATGCACCACCATGCCTGGCTCATTTTTTTTTCTATATATATTAATTGGCCAATTAATTTCTTTCTATTTTTAGTAGAGACGGGGTCTCGCTCTTGCTCAGGCTGGTTTTGTCGAACTCCTGACCTCGAGCGATCCTCCCGCCTCGGCCTCCCAGAGAGCCGGGATGATGACGGGCGTGAGCCACCGCGCCCGGCCTGATGATTATTACCGAAACAAGCAGCCGCTCCACTGGCGACTGCAGGAATGGACGCACACACCGTCTTTATTACGTCCCCCCGGGCTCCCCGGGGCTGGCATGGGGTGATGGAGGAGTGAGGACAACAGGACTGTGGCAGCCTCTGACAGGGGAGGCTCTGGAGCAGGGCGGCCCCGTTCCCTAGCAGTACCCAGGGGCGAAGGGGGGCGGCGGGCGGTACTCCTCGGGGAGCTGGTCCTCCTGGGGCTCCCCCACGCCCCTCCACTCCGGCCGGGCCGCCGGGCAGGACAGGGCCCTCGCTGCTGCCTGGCACCAGCTCCCGTCCCCAGGAGCCGCCTGGTCCCAGCTGACCGACCGCTTGGTCTTCCTGGAGGGGACATTTCCGTCTCTTAGAGCTTGGGGCCTCGAGGAATCCCGGCAGACACCGTCCTCGAGGGCCCCAGCCCCTGAGGGCCCCCCCGCTGCCCGCCCCGGCCCCGGGGCCACCGGTCGCTCTCCACCCCCCCGAGTCCCAGAGCGACGACAAGCTCACGGACCGGAGCTGGGCCCTCAGCCGCTGCTGGACTCTCCTGCCCCTCTGGGGGAGCGTCTTGAGGTTCCTCCAGAGTTTCTCCCAGGCGTCCCCCAAAGGAGCTTTCGTGGGGCAGGAGGAAGGGCCGTCGTCCGCTGTGGGTGCTCCGTCCGCCCCTGCTGATGGCTTGCTGTCCTTTGGCCGACCCGGCGGGGCTGGCTTTGGGGAGGCCTGAAACCGAAAGCAGGTGAGACCTGGGGCCGACCTCCCCCCCACAGCGCCGGACACTGTGGCCCAGGTCCCCCCCGGATTCCCTTGGGCGGACAAACGTCCCTGTGCGAACCCCCAAGCCAGATTGCACGCCCCCTCCTTCCAGCCTCGGGAAACGGCCTCCCCCGCTGCCCCAGGGGTTGGCAAACCTTTCCCGTAAGGAGCCAGAGAGCAAACGGCTTCGGGCTTGCGGGCCATCCCCGCAACCACTCACCTCTGCTGCTGTATGTAGGGCAGAGGCAGCCACAGACTGCTTGTCAATCAACGGGCGGGCCTGCGTTCCAATAAAACTTTATTTGGATGCCATCTGATTCTGTGCTATCTTGACTTTGTGTATTTCGACCGTTGGGAAACGTAAGAGCCGTGCCTAGCTCGGGGGCCCTACGGAAACCGGCCGTGGAGCCCGAGTGGCCCACGGGCCATAGGTTGCCAACCCCTGATCTGCCCGGTTGTTCGGGTCAAAAAACGTGAGTGCCAGTGCCCCTCCCTGCTCCATACATACCCCTTTGCCCTGAGCACATCGGTGCCCCGAGCCCCGCTCCCAAAGGCCAGTACTGGGGACTCTGCCTGGGCACCAATGCCCACTGTGGTCATGCACAGTTGACCACACGTAACAGAGATTTTTTTAATTTTAACTTTTTTTTTTTTTTTTTTTGAGACAGAGTCTCGCTTTGTTGCCCAGGCTAGAGTGAGTGCCGCGGCATCAGCCTAGATCACAGCAACCTCAAACTCCTGGGCTCAAGCAATCCTCCTGCCTCAGCCTCCCGAGTAGCTGGGACTACAGGCATGTGCCACCATGCCCGGCTAATTTTTTCTATATATATATTAGTTGGCCCATTAATTTCTTTCTATTTATAGTAGAGACGGGGTCTCACTCTTGCTCAGGTTGGTTTCGAACTCCTGACCTCGAGTGATCCGCCCGCCTCGGCCTCCCAGAGTGCTGGGATGACAGGTGTGAGCCACCACCTCTGGCCGTAACAGGGATTTGAAATCTCCCAGTGACTAACGGAAGGCGGAGGATAAATACCCCAGCCCCCTCTCCCCGACCGTGGCGTGACCGAGGTGCATGTTCTGCACACACCCCTCCGCCCGGCATTCCCCGGGGGGCCGAGCCCCGTTGCCCACAGGGGTAACCCGCTCGCCAACGCACCTTCATCCACTGTCGTCTCTCCCACCCCGTTTCCCGCCTCCCCCGCTGCCATCTCCCCTGGGGTCATCCCTCGAATGCCGGAGGACCCAGAGACCCACGCCTTGACATCGTCCCTCTTTCCCTCACCGTCCTTGTCCGAGCCATCCACAAGCTCCCTTCTATAACAACGTCCCAAATATCCACTTTTCTTTCCTTCCCTCCCCGGGGCTCCCACTCTGGTCCCTCCCACCTGGAAGCTGCCCCTGCCTCCTTCTTGCTGCTCCCCCCCAAAAGCTAGAGGATCTGCAGGCAGCGGCCACAGGGAACATTGAAAACTGTCAACAGGGTCAGGTGCAAGGTCCCCGGCAGCTTCCTGGGACACGTGGAACAGAATCCCACCTTCTCACTCTGGCCCCCAGTCCCCCGTGAAAACTGGCCGCCCCTCACGCATGTGCTTCTCCTCTCAACCTCGCCCCTCTCAACTAACTCCACTCCGTCTACACCCTGGCTGTTGCTGTTCTGCTTTTCAAACACACCGAGCCCCCCAGGCCCTTTGCATGTGCTGTTCCTGCTCTGTGGAGGCTCCCCCTGCATCTCTGTATGTGCCGGATCCCCCCCTCACCCTGCACGTCTCAGTTCTATGTCGCCTCCTCCAGAAAGCCTTCCCTGACTGCCTCCCCTGATCTGCACCTCTGTGGATGTTCATCACACCAGCCTGTTTCGTTTCCGCCACTGTCAGAACCTCCCTGCTGTGCAGGGGGCCTTGGAGAGCAGCTGGGCCTCAACCTAGAGGCATCTAAAAGTCCATGCATCCCTGAGAGCCTGGGATATATTCATTCATTCATTCATCTACTACACAGACTCATTAGTTGAGCACTTTCAATACGCCGGGTCCTCGCTCAGGGGTGGGAGAAGCAGCGGCAAACAAGGAAGATGGACTCCCGAGCCTCCCAAAGCTCACAGTCTGATGGGGGAGGCCGGCAGGGAACTTGTAAACCCATACATAAACAAGACTTCTGAAATTCTGAGAAGCACCCTGCAGTGAATAAACAGGGTGATGTGGGAGAGAATGCAGTCTGTCTTGCTTTTAGTCAGGAGTCTGGGGAAGGAGTCCTTTGAAGGAGAGCTGCAGGAAGGCATGGGAGGCCAGGGAGCAAAGCACACAGCATGTGCAAAGGTCCTGCCGTTCCGGAGAAGGGCCATCAGCAATGGTGGGCAGAAAGAGAAACTGAGGTTGCAGTTTGAATTTAATCTCAGGAAAGCACTGGAAGGTTTGTAAGCACCAAGCAAGACCTAATTCTCATTCCAGAAAGAGCCTCCCCTGGCAGCCGTTGACCACCCGGGGTCACATACCTCCTCAGGTGAGGCCTCCGGGCAGGAAGAAGACATCTGATGCTCCCTGGGGTCACGGGAGGGGCTGGCGGCTTCCTCAGCCAGAGTGTAAGAGTAAAGGAAGAGATCCTCGTAATCCACGTTTTCGGGGTCATTCTGTGGGGTAAAGGGGACCTGCAGCTCAGCACTATGGAGGGGAAAGGGACCGGGCTGGGGTCCTGAATGAACTCTGGAAGGAGGGTCTCAGGGACTGCCCCACCCCACCGCAGCCCCTTAGGACCTGAGCCTAATAAGGAAACAAGCCCCGCCCACAGCAGATTCTTAAGGGCCAGGCCACACCCTCTGAGCCTAATAAGGAAACAAGCCCCACCCACAGCAGGTTCTTAAGGGCCAGGCCACACCCTCTGAGCCTAATAAGGAAACAAGCCCCGCCCACAGCAGATTCTTAAGGGCCAGGCCACACCCTCTGAGCCTAATAAGGAAACAAGCCCCGCCCACACACAGCAGGTTCCTGGGGGCTAGGCCACGCCCCTTTCTAAGGAAAGGTGCCATCCTGCAGATCAGCCGGGCCCCCACGGGAACCAGGAGGGGCCAGGGGCCATGAGAGTGACGGAATCAAGAGAAGCTAATCGGGGGCGGGCGGGAGCCAAGGGGTCTGGGAGGCTTGGCCCCAAGGACACGGCGGTGGCCCCCGTGGGCCCTGCCTTCACCTGCCCGCAGGGCTGTGTCAGCAGCTCCCCGTGCAACTCGATTGGCTGCTGCTGGTGGAAGGTGACCAGGTCGGCCAGCGAGGCGTGGGCCGCCGTCTCCCCGGGCATCACGAGACTGCCGTCGTCCAAGAGCTTCACCATGAAGTGGCGGCAGCAGCCCTGGGCTCTGCGGAGACACTGTCCGGGCTGGGACATCCCACTCCCCCTCGCTCCTCCCCGTCACCCCCACTGGCTAGCCATGCAACACCCGCCCCGTTGCTAGTCTCACACGCCTCAGTTTCCCCACTTATAACATGGGCCTCAGTTCCTGCGAAGGAAGATAAAACAAGCTACTACGGGCAAAACTCTGCGCCCGGCTGGGGGTAGATGAGCAGTAGACATGGTAGCAACGAAACATTTTGAGTAGACCCCAGCGTAAGGCTGTGTGCGCCCAGCACACAGCAGGCGCTCCATAAATGCTCGGTTAATCCACGCAATTATTTATCGGCCCTTTGCACTCGGATGTCGAGTGTGGGTAATGTCGAGTGGATAATGAGAAAAGAGCAGGCGAGTGCAAAGGGGTTAATGGCCATGTGCTCACTATGTATATCTCATCTAACCCTCACATCAAGGCTCTGAATTAAATTTTAGCGTCCCTTTGCGGGAGGCACAGAGAGGTTGGATGGCTCGTCCGAGCTCACACAGCGTGGAGTGGCAGAGCTGCACCTTGGACTGTGTGGCTCCCGGCCCAAGCTTTTGCCGCCGTGGGGAACTCTGCAACGGAGCCTTTGGCCCGGAATGTTTCGGATTTGCCCTTTGGAAAAATAAGTTTTGTGCTTCTGAGTCTTTCTGACATAATACCGGGCCAGGCGCTGCGGGGTTAAAGAGCCGGGCTTGCCTGGGCTTCCCGAACCCAGAGTCAGGGAGTCGCTGATTAGGTTGTCACCGGGGTGGGGGGTGGGGGGAGCACAGCAGCCACTGTCAGGCCTCCGGCAGCCCCGTGTTCTTAGGCCCACAGTCCCCGTGTCTGCTGGTCGCAGCCGGACCTGCAGCCGCCCCCTCTCCAGCCGCGTCTGGCCGGACGCTCACGCTGTTGGCTCTCGGAGAAGTTGTGGCGTGCATCGCCCCTCGCCCCCTCCGAAGACAACCCGGCGCCCGCCCGGCCCCTCGCCCGGCCTTACTTGTAGGACAGCGTGTAGCCCACGTGGCTGTGGCTGACTCTGATGAGAAAGGCCCCCGGTGGCTGTGGCCGCAGCAGGTGCTCAGCGTCCCTGGAAGGGCACACACAAGGGAGGGGAGGGCCACAGCTCAGCCGCCCCAGGCGCTGGGGCCGCCAGCCTCCTGGTGCCACGGAGCCACGGAGGCACGGAGGCACGGAGGCACGGAGGCCGGCCCTTTTTCGGTTTCCTAAATGAACAAACAACCTAAAACCACTTTTTCTTTTTTTTTCTCGGTTGGGATATTCAGGGACTTTGGGGTGTTCGCCAGAAGTGGCAGGAGCCTCTGGTGACCTCGACCCCAGCCAGGCCACACGCCCTCCCTTCTCTGTCAGCCCCACCTGCCTTGCCCAGCACCGGCCAGGCTGTCGGGGGTAACAGGCGTGCTCGGCTGCGTCTGGCTCACGGCCCAGCTCCGCTGCTGACCCGCTGTGCGGCCTCGGGGGACCGTCACTCCCTCTCTGGCCGCCGGCTTCCTCGAGGCCAAAGTCAACCCTCACTCCCGGGCGGGCGTGAGAACAGCGCAGCGCACGCCAGGCTGCGGGCCGGCACCGGCTCCTGCTCCCCAGATGCCCGCCGTGATTACTGCTGTCAGACGTTCCGTCCTTGCTACCACGCCATTACATTTCTTTTTAATTTTTTTTTTTTTTTTTTTGAGACGGAGTCTCACTCTGTTGCCCAGGCTAGAGTGAGTGGTGTGGCGTCAGCCTCGCTCACAGCAACCTCAGACTCCTGGGCTCAAGCGATCCTCCTGCCTCAGCCTCCCGAGTAGCTGGGACTACAGGCATGCGCCACCATGCCTGGCTCATTTTTTTCTATATATTTTTAGTTGGCCAATTAATTTCTTTCTATGTTTAGTAGAGACGGGGTCTTGCTCTTGCTCAGGCTGGTTTCGAACTCCTGACCTCGAGCAATCCGCCCACCTCGGCCTCCCAGAGTGCCAGGGTTACAGGTGTGAGCCACCGCGCCCAGCCCACCCTGATGGATTGAGGGCAGGCGCCTGGGGCGCTGTGTTAAGAAGGATTCTGAGGCTGCGTCCTGCCATCATGGGTTGGTGACACCTGTCCTGGGCAAGGTGGGGGTGGCTGCCAGGTCGTTGGCAGCGCTGGCCTGGTGGCTACTCGCACAGAGAAAGCCGGGGCCCAGGGAGGGCGAGTCACTCGCCCCAGGCCACCTCTCCCCGGCAGAGGAGGTAGGATTCGAACCCAGAACCCAAGGGCTCGCTCCACCCGCTCTCTCAAACGCAGCTGCGCGGAGCCCAGGGCTCTGACATCGAAACCCGCTCAGGGTGGGGGCACGCAAGGAAAGAGGGTGGGGGGCGCTGGTGTCCTCACTCTCTCGAGATGGCCCCGTGGAACCACGCGGGGATGCCGTCCTGGGCCAGCTGGCCCACCTGGGTGTGCACGAACCAGTCCAGTCGTGGGGGTAGCGGCGGGGGCAGTTTCCCGGCCTCTGTCATGGCTTCCTGGGGGTGGGGTTCACCTGGGGGCGAGACGGGGGACAGTCAAGCTTGGTGCACCGTCTATAGTCCCTCTATTCTCACGTCGTAGGCTCCTCCTCCTCCAAGAAGTCCTCCGGGCTTGACAGAACGACGGGCTTACAACTGGCTTATGTTTCTTGAGCGCCTACTATGCGCCCGGCTCGTCTTACACATTCATTCACTGTCCCCGCCCCAAAATCCTCTAGCACTTTTCTTTTCGTTCTTTTCTTTTCTTTTCTTTTCTTTCTTTCTTTCTTTTTTAGAGAGAGGGTCTCACTCTGTCGCCCAGGCTGGAGTGCAGTGGTGTGATCACAGCTCACTGCAGCCTCCAACTCCTGGGTTCAAGCGATCCTCCTGCCTCAGCCTCCCGAACACCTGGGACTAGGAGGCACGCGCCACCACGTCCAGCTAATTCCTAAAAAAAGATTTGTTTTGTAGAGACGGGGTCTCGCTCTGTTGCCCGGGCTGGTCTCTCCAACTCCTGGCTTCAAGAAATCCTCCCACCTCGACCTCCCACAGTGCGGGATGACAGGCGCGAGCCTCCGCGCCGGCCTTTCTGTTCTTGCCACGCGTCACCACAAGGGCCAGCAGGCTCCCTTCATGAACAGGTGCACTTGAACTGGCGGACAGGGTTCAGTTAAATGTCCGGTCGATGTCGACGTCCCCGGAGGGGCCGGGACGCGGCAAAACGGTAAGCGGAGGGACGCAACAGCGGCCCGCAAGGGGTCGCCTGGGCTTCGTTAAAACCCCAGAGACGAGTGGCCCAGACAGCGGCTTCTGCCACCAGCGTTGGCGTGTGCCGCGGCCACCGATGGCTCTCCGGCGACGTGCCAGGCCTGTGGGTAATTCGCACCCGTCCTCGACAAGCGGAAGCTCCAGGAGCCGCCGGGCCTTGGTGGCACGGAGCTGGAGCCAGGGAGAGAGGACAGCGCCCATTTGCACAACGCTCGCCCCGAATTCCGTCCCCAGGCCGGAGCCCGGACCCCTCCCCTCGCCGGCCCCCCACCTACTTTTCCGATATCTCAGAAGGTCTCCGTTCCTGGGCCGCCTCTCTGGCCAGGCGACCCACAGCGTCAATATTGACCTTCCCCCGAGAGCACACAGGCACGCCCTGCAGGGCGTAGCCCGAGGGGATCCGGGGCCAGTGAGATTAGACACGTCTATTGAGAAGTGTCTGATGAAACAGGGTGCCACGAAGGGACAGAGAGCCTGCAGTTGGAGCCAGATGGCCTGGGTTTGAAGCAACCCGGCTCCCCCCACTCGGCTGCTGTGTGACCTTGGGCCAGTCACTGAACCTCTCTGTGCCTGTATTTTCATCCCTTACTTGGGGATAATGATGGTTGCCTGGGAAGGTATAATTGGCACAGAGTGATAACCATTGTGTGTATATATATATATGTCATCTTGGTAAGTCCAGTTGTGAACTAGCACAGGGCAATGCTTATAGGCTTCTTGTTTTTCCTACTTGGAAGAACTCCTGTGTATCCTGCAAAACCCGGTAAGAATGTGCCCTCGTCCAAGCAGCTTTCCTGCCTCTCCTCCCAGACGAAGCCCTGGCAGCTCTCTCTGTCCCCCCCTTCCCCACTGGTCCTCCCTCTGGCCCAGCCACCAACCCATGGAGTTGGAGTTGTTCTCGCCTGGCTCTGTCTCCACCAGACCTGGGGACTCCTGAGGCCCAGGACCCAGGGCTGGGCTCTTTTATATTTTAATTTTTTTATTTAATCTGGGTGCCCAGCGTCCTTGGTGCTGGCCGGGCCCAGGGGAGGGTGCAGGGCTAGCGATGGATGCCTGAACCCGCACTCAATTTCCAGCTCCTTGGCTCACGCTTGTAATCCTAGCACTCTGGGAGGCCGAGGCGGGCGGATCGCTCGAGGTCAGGAGTTCGAAACCAGCCTGAGCAAGAGCGAGACCTCGTCTCTGCTATAGATAGAAAGAAATTAATAGGCCAACTAATATATAGAAAAAAAAAATTAGCCGGGTGTGGTGGCGCATGCCTGTAGTCCCAGCTACTCGGGAGGCTGAGGCAGGAGGCTCGCTTGAACCCAGGAGTTTGAGGTTGCTGTGAGCTAGGCTGACGCCACGGCACTCACTCTAGCCTGGGCGACAGAGCGAGACTCTGTCTCAAAAAAAAAAATAAAAGAAAATAAATTTCAAGCTCCTGACCTGGGTCTGGGCCTCCCCCACTTCCTCATTCCCCGCATTCCGGTCCTAAAGCCCTCCTGGCTCGCTCCCTGTCGGGCCTTTGCCCACGTTCCCTTGCCAGGAGTGCCCTTCCCCGACTTGAGTCCCGAGTCCCCATGGCCGGCTCCATGCCCCCTCCTCCGGGCAGCCCTCCCCCCGGCCCCCAGAAAGTCCCTCATGCCGCTCTGCGCCCCAGCCCCAGCCCGCGCCCTGGCTCCGGGAGGGCGGGAGGGCGGGAGGGGCCGAGGCTGTGCGACTCGTACCTGGGGGCGCCGGCGGGAGCCCCTGGCTCTGGCTGTGCGGCCTGGGGGAGCCTGGGTTTCGATTCAGGGTCAGCCCGTCGGCAGCGGGCGGGCGGGGCGGCCGCCCCTCCGCGCTCCGGGTTTCTGTTTCCTCCGCAGGTCCGCCTGGGGCGGGGCCGTCACCCTGGCTGCCGCCCCACCAGCCGCCCCAGCCGGCCGCAGCTGGGGGGCGCCTCGCTCCGGCCCGGCCCCCAACTGGCTTTCTCCAGCACCTACTGTGTGCGGCTCCCGGGGGACACAAGGGGACCCCAAGACAGGGGCACGCCCTCCTCTCCTGGCAGGTGGAACCGACCCGTGGGAAGCCATCTCTGTCACAAGGGGGCACAGAGGGGTCTTGTGGGCCTAGAGAAAGGGGCACTGAGGGCGTGTAGGAGTCGGCGCGGCTGCGGGTGGGGGGCGTGGGGCGGGGAGAGGGTGGAGGGACCGGCTGGCGGTCAGAGGCTCTGAGGCCAGGCCGAGCCCCGACAGGCGGGCCCGAGGCAGGCACAGGGCCACCGCGCCAGGCCTTCCTCCGTGGCAACGGAAGACAAAAAGCCAAAAAAACCCAAAAAACAAAAAAAACCCGAAAAAACCCACACGCTTAGCGGGAGACTTCACGATGGCGTCGGCACCGGCCCTGCAGCCAGGCCGGACTCCTTATTCCGTGTTTGCTGTCCGCGTGTCACTTTTGTGTTTTCTGGTCTGAAAAGAAGTGTGGATACTTGGGGAACTCCTACGCACGCCTCGTGGGCCCCGGGCGTGGCGCCCCGGGCTTTGCGGATTGGCCAGTGGGCACCCGGGCAAAGCCACTTCCTCCCCACCCCCTCTCAAGCAGAAAGGGCTCCGATCCCCCCCTGCCGGGCTGGGGGCTCCAGCTGGGCGCCCCCCCCCCAGTCACCCCCCTGCTGCTTCCCGGGCGGCGGGGGAGGGGCGCTGTCTGGAGTCCGTAGGCCGACCAGCCCGGAGCTGGAGACAGACAGACGCTGGCTCAGAGCCGGCTTCTGGCTCACCCGCTGTGTGGCCTCGGGCGAGTGGCTCAGCCTCTCTGTGCCTCTGGCTGCTCCCGCAGTGCAAAGCGGCACAGCGGGCGTGACAGCGGAACTGCCCTGTCTCGTGAAGACGATGGGGGTGAGCCCACCCTCCAGCACGGAGCGCGGAGCTCAGTGGAGAGTCACGACACCAGGACTCTTCCCTGGGACCGAATCCGGTGCCTCCCTGAGCACAGTCTCGGCCCCAGATCTCTGGGGCTGGGCCGCCTCGGGCAACTCACGCCACCTCTCTGGTCCTGCACGCCCTCCCTCCGCAGCCCCCACACGCTGCTGAGGGAGGGCCTGGAAGTGTCCGGGAGATCCTGGTCCCCCTGCCCCCCCACTGCCCTGTCCCTGTCCCGGGACAGCCTGGCCCAGTCGGGGGTCTCATCTGCGAGGAGCTCAAGGTCGCTGGGAACTGGGGCCTCCCCCGGCCGGCCCCAGGGCCCAGGCTGAGGCTCCTGCTCACTTCCCCGACCTGGGGGCCCTGCGGTCTCCCACAAACGGACGCCGGCTTCCTCCTCAGGATGTCCCAACAGAACCCCCACCCACCCCTGGCTGTCGCCGGCCGGCCCCCAGGTGGACGTGCGGCCCCCAGAGGAAGCAAGGGGACGGCGGCGGGCTGTGTGGTGGGGACAGAGGGGCCCAGAGGGGGAGGGCAGCGGGGCTGGGACTCCTGGGCGCCCCCCTCCCTCCCCGACGCCAGCTTCCCCCAGGGCGGGAGAGCCGGGCTTTTCTATGGAGGCCTCAGCTGGGGAGGGGACGGGGGCAGGCGGCCGCCGGGCGGCGTCTCAGGACAGGGACCGTGCTGCAGCCACAGGCATTAGGGAGTGGGGGAGTCTGGGGCTCGGCCGGCGCCGGGCGCGATGCCGTTCTACGGTTCTGGCTTCCGCCGAGCCCCAGGTGTGCGAGGGCCGTGCTAGATGCCGGGGCTGAGGCCAGAGACAGGCTGGGACAGGCACGGTGTCCACCCTGCTGGGGCCCATGGCCCTCGGGGAGGCAGATGCTGAGCAAGTTCACGTACAAGAAAGGCTGGAGGAGGAGGAGACAGCAAGTGCAAAGGTCCTGGGCAGGAATGCACCTGGCGAGCTCGAGGAGACAACAGCCAAGGTGTAGAAGAGGCAGAAACAACCCAGATGCCCGGGGGGCCACAAAACATAGTCCGTCCTCGTTGTGGGATGTGATTCCACCTTGTGAAGGAAGGAAGCCGTGATGCCGTGCTACCCACCGCGTGGGTGCAGCTCAAAAACATCACGCTGCCGGGCAGGGTGGCTCGCGCCTGTCATCCCAGCACTCTGGGAGGCCGAGGCCGGCGGATTGCTGAAGGTCAGGAGTTCGAGACCAGCCTGAGCAAGAGCGAGACCCCGTCTCTACTATAAATAGAAAGAAATTAATTGGCCAACTAATATATATAGAAAAAATGAGCCGGGCATGGTGGCGCATGCCTGTAGTCCAAGCTACTCGGGAGGCTGAGGCAGGAGGATCGCTTGAACCCAGGAGATTGAGGTTGCTGTGAGCGAGGCTGATGCCTTGGCACTCACTCTAGCCTGGGCAACAAAGCGAGACTCTGTCAAAAAAAGTCACGCTGAGTGAAGGAAACCAGACCAGACACAGAAGACCACACAGAGTGTGACTCCACTGATACGAAATGTCCTCGACAGACCAATCCAGAGACAGGAAGCCGATTAGCAGTGGCCAGGGGGCTGGGGGAGGAGGAGAGGGAGTGACCACTGATGGGGACAGCGATGGTGGAAATGTTCGAAAATGGACCTGGGGCCGGGCGCGGTGGCTCACGCCAGTAGTCCCAGCTACTCGGGAGGCTGAGGCAGGAGGATTGCTTGAGCCCAGGAGTTGGAGGCTGCAGTGAGCTATGATGACACCACTGCACTCTACCCAGGGTGACAGAGCAAAACCTTATCTCAAAAAGAAAAAAAAAAAAAAAAGGAAAGAAAAAATTGACTTGGGTGACAGTTGCGCAACTCTGTGGATATGCTAAAAACTGCTGAATTGCACGCATTAGCGGGTGAACTGTGTCTCGATAAAGCTGGCATTAAAAAAATAAATAAATAAAGCCGAGCAGGTGGGGTGTGATGGGTCAGGCCTGCAATCCCAGCACTTTGGGAGGCTGAGGTGGGAGGATCTCGGGAGGCCATGAGTTGGAGGCTGCAGTGAGCTGTGATGGCGCCGCTGCACTCCAGCCTGGGCGACAGAGCGAGAGCCCCTCTCTGAAAACAGAACGGGAGAAAAAAGCCGAGGTGTCATGTCTCTGGGTGCAGGGGGCCGACCTCCTTGCCTGCCATACCAGCGAAGGCCCTAGAGGCGGGAAAACTAGGGACACCTTGAGCAAGAGGGCCGGTGGAGGGCGGGACGTAGGGGTTGAAGGAGCCCTGACCCGGCCGGGCGGGAAATCAGAGGGGTTGGGGACAAACACAAGGATGACTCAAACCCCTGAGCTACGTTGGGGACTTGTACCCCGTGAAAAGCGGTGAAAGGAGAAGTGGGGGCCGGGCGCAGCGGCTCACGCCTGTCATCCCGGCACTCTGGGAGGCCGAGGCGGGCAGATTGCTCGAGGTCAGGCGTTTGAGAGCGAGAGCAAGAGCGAGACCCCGTCTCTACTATAAATAGAAGGAAATTAATTGGCCAACAAATATATGTAGAAAAAATTAGCCGGGCATGGTGGCGCATGCCTGTAGTCCCAGCTACTCGGGAGGCTGAGGCAGGAGGATCGCTTGAGCCCAGGAGTTTGAGGTTGGTGTGAGCGAGGCTGACGCCACGGCACTCACTCTAGCCTGGGCAACAGAGCGAGACTCTAACTCAAAAAGAGAGAGAGAGAGAGAGAGAGAGAGAGAAGTGGGTTCTTTTCTTGGGCCCCAAGATGTGGCGATGCTGCTGACGGCAGCCTATTTGTTCTGTCTGGGTGCTTGGGACATGTCTCTCCCCGCTCTGGGACCCACTGTCTCCCTGGCCGTTCTCGGCGTGGAAACTGTGACCGTCCCCGTCACAGAGCAGGGGACCTGCCCACAGTCGTGCCGAGGGGCTGGGATTCGAGCTGGGGCAGCTGCCTCTTACCCGCGACCTGCGCACGGCCCAGAGGAAAGCGGGGCGCGGGCGGCGCTGTCGGCTGCCGCCGGCCGTGCACTCCTCGGGCTCGTGCGGCTTCGGGCAGGGAAGGGGGAGAGCGGGCATGGCTGGGGGGCTTTGAGTTTCAGAAGCAGGAATCAGGGGGCCTCCCAAGGTGGGTGGCGCAGGGATGGAGCGCGGTGGTGTTGATGGCAGCCAAGCCGGGGACCGCCAGGGCAGGCCCCTCACCAGGGCAGGTGGGTGGGCGAGGGTGTGTGTGTCGGGATTTAGAGGTGGTTTGGGGAGGCCCAGAAAAGAGGACGCCTGGGGACGGGGAGCTGCCCAGGAGGCTGCCGAGGCCACGGGTTTAGCCCGGCAGCTGGCCGCTGGAGGGGAGATGTCACTCCTCCCTGCTCGCCCCTTCACCCCGGGGGCCTCGTGTTGTGCGTTCTTCTTCTTCTTTTTTTAATAGACAGGGTCTTGCTCCGTTGCCCAGGCTGGCGTTCAGTGGCCTCATCATAGCTCACTGCAGCCTCCAACTCCTGGGCTCAAGCGATCCTCCTGCCTCATCCTCCCAAGTAGCTGGGACTACAGGTAAGCACCACACCTGGCTGATTTTTCTATTTTTTTTGTAGAAACTGGGTCTTGCTATGTTGCCCAGGCTGATCTCGAACTCCTGACCTCAAGGGATCCTCCCACCTTGGCCTCCCTAAGTGCTAGCGAGCCACCGAGCCCGGTCTAAACTTCTTTTGTACAAACCACGCAGCGTACGCTCCTCACGTGTTTTGTGGGAGTCTGGAACCTCCGCAAGCGCCAGGCACAGGGTGCCCGCGTGACCGGCCCCAGTAGGAACCTGGGCACGAAGTCTCTCTCGAGCTTCTGCGACAATACGTATTGCACGTTTGCTGCTTGGGGAATTAAGCCCGTGGTGTGTGGCCCCACTGGGGGAAGATTCTAGAAGCTTCTGCCTGGTTTCCCCTAGACTTCATGCTGTGCGCCTTCCCCTTTGCTGGTTTTGCGTGGCCCCCTTCGCTGCCACACCCCTTGGGCCCGAGTGCTGCTGTCTGCCGGGTCCCCGGGAACCCCTGAACCCGGGGGGTGGCCTTGGGGAACCCCCAGACCGGGTAGAAGAAACATGCTGGGAGCAGTGGCTGGGAGGTGGCGGCCCTGGGAGGAGCCACCAGGGAGGGGGGGGGGGGGGGGGAAGCGGTGGCTGAGACACGTGGCAGAAGCCAGGGGAGGGTGGCGGGAGGACTCAGTACCAAGGGCTCGACTTGGCCACACGGTGTCATCAGGCAGCGAGACCAGAGGATGTTGGCGGCATGGTGACAGGGACGGGTGTGCTAGGCGGGGCACACGGGGCACGGAAGCAGAGCTGTGGCGCGGGGGTACCTGTTTTCTTGCGAGCGGCGGGCAGGGCCGGGGGCTTCCTCCCCCGGGTTTGTCCTGGGGACGCGAGTCTGTCTCCGAGACACCCCCGGCTGAGGTGGCCCCAGCTTCTGCTCTGGTCTTGTCCCGCCCTGAGACCCCTCCGCCCCGACTCCCGGCCACCTGCGTGTGGCCCACGGGGAAAACGTGGAAACGTCGAAACCCACGGGCTTTAAAATGAGCTTTGGTTTGTCTGTTTTCCTTAAGTGCATTTATTGATGTAAACAGAGCATGTTAGAGATTCCAGGGGAGCAGACTATTGCTGGTATGTATGTTTTAATTAAAAAAAAGAAAAGAAAAAAGACACTACAATGCCAATGGCTTCGATGGACAGCAGCTTAAGGAAGGAAAAAAAAAAAAAAACAACAAAAGAAGAGGTTCCCTGGTGACATGGCCCAGCATGGAGACCCGGTCCCAACTGCAGTCTCTCCACGGACAGCTCGGCTGCCGGGACGGAACCCAACGGCGACAGCTGCCCGCCGGCCCCGCGGCCCCGGAAAGCCTGTGTCGTCGTTGCGGCCACGTCCCGCTGGGGGCGTGAGGAGCTTGCTCCCTGTCACCAGGGTTGCCGCCGGAAACCGGAGCCGGAATCGCTCCCTGGCACTACGAATCTGGAAATATAAAAATCTCGGCTAGGAGGGACGTCCGGTTTGGAGACAGCGGCGGGTGGGGGTGGGGACGCAGAGGAGGCAGGGGCTGTTTCGGGGCCGGGAGGAGGGCGACCTGATGGCGGGAGGACCGGGGGGCAGGTGAGGCTGTTCTCGGGGTCCCCGTGGCGCCCAGACAGGCCGCGGAGGGGCCCGGCTGCACCTGGCCCCCAGCCTCGCGGCCGCCAGGGCCCCCTCCCTCCTGGAGCCTCGCGGAGTCCTCGACTTGTGCTTCCCTTTGGTTTGACAGTTAAGAAGGAGAGAGTGGGAGAGAACTGGCTTTCGTCGCTCGTCCGAAACCGAGAGGGCGGCGGCGGCGGGCACAGGCTTGCTGCGCGGACGCCCCGGGCCCGGCGGGCGCTTGCTCGGGTCGAGGCGCGGAGCCCGGCGCTCCCAGAGCGTTGCGGGAACGGCTTCCTGGCGGGGCTCGTGTCACGCCACGGCAAGGCGCCAGAGGCCGGAGCCGGGGCCTGGTCACAGCTGGCCGCGCTCCCCTCTCTCTCTGGGAACTCGGTGCGTGGGTCCGCCCGGTCAGCGGACGTTGCAGGAAAAAATAGCAGATTCTTAACTCATTCCATCTCCGAAGTTGAAGAAGATCAGACAGTTACTAAAATAAAACAATTTCTCAATTGCGTTCTGGTGGCCGCGGGCCCGGTGGCCGCGGGCGGGTGGTGGAGGTGGCGGCCCGGCGGAGCGAGGGCGCGCTCAGAACAGGCACAGTCAGGCGCACAGTAGGCGGCGTCCCTCACAGAAGAACACACCGGAAAAAGCTGCTCCTCTTCTGCTGGTCTGGTGTGATTTTGACTCCCTGGCTGCTGCCCTGGGGGCTGTTGCCTTCCTGAAGTCACAAGAGGTTTCCCGAGGTTAGTGCTGACTCAGTGCCACGTCCTGACCAACCAGCCAGTCACCCGCCAGACCATCCACACATCTCCTTCCAATCAACCAACCATCCACCCCCTTCCAACCATCCATCCCCTTCCAACCATCCATCCATCATCCATCCACTTCCAACCATCCATCCCATCATCCATCCCCTTCAATCCAATCCTATCCTCGATCCATTCCCTTAACTCATCATTCCATCATCCATCCCTTTCCAACCATCCATTCCACTGATCCATTCCCTTTCCATACCATCCTATTCCGACTGATTCCATCCCCTCCAACCATCCTCCACGATCCATCCTGTCTCAAATCTCCTATCCTACTGATCCATCCCCTTCCAACCATCCATCCTACTGATTCCATCCCCTTCCAAACCATCCATTCCATCATCCATCCCTCTTTATCCAACCAATTGCCATCCATCATCCATCCCTTCCATACATCATCCATTTCATCTTCATTCCTTTCCAACCATCCATCATCATTCACCCTTCCTAACCTATCCATCCATCATCTTATCCTCTTCTAATCATCCATTCCATCATCTATCCCTCAACCATCCATCCACCGATCATCCCCTTCCACCATCCATCCACGATCCATCCCCGTTCCAACCACCATCCATTTCATCTATTTCCCCTTCAACATTCATCCATCATCCATCCCCCTTTCCAAAAAATCCCCCCATTTTTTTCCATCCACGATCCATCCCTTCCAACCATCCATCCATCATTCATCCTTTCAAACCATTCCATTCCTATCATCCATCCCTTCAACCATCCATCCATCATCCATCCCTTCCAAGCATCATCCATTCATCATCCTTCCAACCATCCATCCATTCATCCATCCCCTTTTCTATACCATCATTTCTATTCATCCATCCCTTCTAACCATCCATCCATCTCCTTCCAACCATTCCATTCCATCATCCATCCCTTCCAACTCAGCCCTCCATCTTTTGATGATACCCATCCAATGTCTCCTTACAAAAAATCTTACTTTTCATCTATTAAACCCCCTCTTCCAACCTGAATTCTTGTCCAACCATTTATTCTCATCGGAGGCTTCTTCTTTTCCATACTTTCCTTTCCTTCCATTTCACCGCCCTTCTCCTTTCCTTCTTTCCAGCCACTCTACCCATCTTGCTGAACACCGTGCACTGAGCGCCGGGAGTTCCGAAGAGCTGTGTCCCTTGGCATTGGGAGCCTGGGTTCCATGTCCTGCTTGCCATCCCGCCCCTGTCTCCGTGCTCCTGTGGCACGCTCTGGCTTCACGGTTCTCTCCTCACTTGCCCTCCGCCTCTCACCGGGGAACGCAATGCTGTTCTGGACTCTGCTCTTGTCGACGCGTTTTGACCTCTCCTGAGGATCCCACCGTTTGCCCACCCACCGTAGAGCGGTACGCCCTGTATCACGCAGAGCCGCTTGCGATCTGTGTGTTTTTTTTTTTTTTTTTTTTTTTTTTTTTTTTTTTTTTTGTTTTTTCTTTTTTTTTTTTTTTTTTTTCTTTGTTGTGTGTTCGTCTTTCGTCTGTTTTTCTTGCGCTGCGACCCTGGAACTTCGAATCCTGTTTCTCCCCACCTCTGTTAGAAAGCCTTGCCGCCCGACACCCACTGACCCTCTCTTCCTCCGACCGACTTCGTCTCTCGGTTCTTCAGGGAAAATCCCGACTGACTTTCCACAGCGGCTGTATCGAAGGCCCACCAGCGTGCCGGGGCTATGCGCAAGATTCTGGGACGGAGATGTTCCCGCCCGGGCAGGCTCAGCCTGTGGGGGAGGACGATCACTTGGGAAGCGCACGCGCAGGTGACTTTCCACGGTGGAGCATGTGAGGGAAAGAGGCAGGACGGGATGGAGGTGACAGTGGGAGGTGTTTTCCATGGGCAGTCATGGCGATGTAACGAGGCTTTCACAAGGGGAGAAGAGAGAATCCAGGGGCGGTGCCAGGCGTGGTCAGACGAAGACGGTCCACGCCAGCCCCTGGAACCTGCGCACGCGGCACCTGGTCTGCGAAATGGGACTTTTGCTGATCATGAGTGCTGGGCTGGGAGTGAGAGCCTGGACACCCGGGCCCGGCTCTGGTGGCAGGTAACCCTTAGGCGCAGGTTAGCGGCCGCGTCAGAGGGGCCAGCATTTCAACTCGTGCCTTTGCAATCCGGTCGGAAACGCCGATACGGCCGGCGAGCCGTTGCCGCGCACCGAGGATCCTGTGAAGACACGTCTGATCTCG